TGGCAGAAATTATGGAATAGAAATTACAAACTTACAATGTCAACAGCGTGTAAAGAAAATCTCTATAAAATGTTTTAGAGATGGCGCTTGTTACCTGCAAGAATAGCTAATATGTACAAAAATAAATCTGTCAAATGTTGGAAATGTAACCAAACACCAGGTTCATATTATCACATGTGGCAGACGTGCCCGAAAGCAAAAAAATATTGGAAGAAAATTTGCATATGGCTAGAAGCTATGATAATAATAATAATAATAATAATAATAATAATAATAATAATAATAATTTTATTTCTATACCACCCTTCTCCCGAAGGACTCAGGGCGGTGTACAGCCTATTTAAAAACACAGAAACAAAACAACAGTTAAAATTTAAAATCATTAAATAATTAGGCTCCAATTAAAATCCCAGAAATTTAAAATACCCCAATTTAAAACGTTATGTTAATAGCCCGGCCTGGCGGAACAACAGGGTCTTCAGAGCGCAGCGAAACACTCGGAGGTCGGAGATCTTACGTATTTCCGGGAGCAGTTCATTCCACAGGGCTGGGGCTCCCACAGAGAAGGCCCTCCCCCTGGGTGTCGCCAGCCGACATAACTTGGCCGATGGCACCCTGAGGAGACCCTCTCTGTGGGAGCGGACTGGTCGGTGGGAGGCTATTGGTGGCAGAAGTCGGTCTCGAAGGTACCCGGGTCCTATGCCATGGAGCGCTTTAAAGGTGGTAACCAACACCTTGAATCGCACCCGGAAGACCACTGGGAGCCAGTGCAGCTCGCGCAGGAGGGGTGTCACGTGGGCGCAACGAGTTGCACCCATAACCACCCGCGATGATAAAACAACACATACTTGAAACCTGAGATATTCCTGCTGGGCATGCTACAGAAAAGTATAAGGGTAATACATATTTAATTTTACATATTTTAACAGCAGCCAGGATTGTATATGCACAATATTAGAAAAATGATCAAACCCCCACAGATGAGAATATAATAAAAAATGGAATGTGCAGAAATGGATAGGTTAACGCTAAAAATTAAAGAAAAAGAAGATTCAGAATATTTTATGACATGGGAACTTTTTTTTTACAAATGGTTAGTCAATAGATACAGAGATCAGATGGATGGGTTTATATGAAATATGGATTATATGAGAAAGAAAAACATTTTTATGCTTATATAATTGATATCAATATGGAAGATAGTATACTTTATAACAATGATTGATAGTATATACTATATGTTTGTATGTTGATATGATCATAACGATTATGAGGATGTTTAACACTTTTGTTACCTAGAAAACACTGTTCAATTTAGAAATGGGATTTGTGATATAAAAACAATAAAATTTTTGAAATGAGGACCCAGATTATGGGGGCAATAAGGTGACTTTGTATAAATATACAAAAGTATATTTTGTATATTTATACAAAGTATTTATACTTTTGTATAAATATACAAAAGTATGAAGGCTATTGCTTAACGCATTGTAAGCCGCCCTGAGTCTCTGGAGAAGGGCGGCATATAAATCAAATTAAAAAAACAAACAAAAAAACAATAAAATAAATAAATAAATAAAATTCTGGAAACCAAGAGGCAACTGATGTAGACAATGCTTATCTATATGTGATTATCTGATTTACTATAATACAGTTTTCTATCTATCCAGAAAAAAATATGTTGCAAATATACTCATATAGTACTACAGTCTCTGTATACTTTAATTTATATCATGAAATGAATTTAATTTATATCATGAGACTGAATATATCAGTCTCAAACACTGATTTGAGTTTTAGAGGCTTTATAATGAAATTGTCTATACTCTACATGCTATATCAAATTGTAAATGTAACATATGTGACCCATCCATTTTTTGTAATGCCAAAAGCTTGCCCTCACATAATAAAAATATCAGGATTCCTACAATTTATTGTATATAAGTTTTAAAAAATAAGGTTTTACACTTAGGCAAGAAAAACCAAATGTGCAGATATAGAACAAGTGGTATCTGGCTCAATAGTAGTAACTGTGAGAGGCATCTAGGAGTCCTAGTGGACAACCACTTAAATATGAGCCAGCAGTGTGCTGCAGCTGCCAAAAACATTAACACAACCCTAGGCTGCATGAACAATTGGATAGAATCAAGAACTTGTGAAGTACCACTTTATAATACCTTTATTATAATACCTTTATAATTATAATACCTTTATAAGACTATACATAAAATATTGCATCCAGTTTTGGTTTCATGATATCAAAAAGATGTTGAGACTCAAGAATACAAAGAGCAACAAAGGTAATTAGGGGACTGGAGGCTGAAACATGAAGAATGGTTGCAGGAACTGGGTATATCTAATCTAATGAAAAGCAGGACTGGGGTGACATGATAGCAGTATTTCAATATTTGAGGGGCTGCCACAAAGAAGAGAGAGTTAACATATTCTCCAAACCACCTGAAGGCAGGACAAGAAGTAGCAGGTGGAAGATCATCAAAGAGAGATCCAAACTAGAACTAGAAATTTCCTGACAGAACAATTAATCAGTTGAACAACTTGCCTCCAGAAGCTGTGGGTGCTCCATCACTGGAGGTTTTTAAGAGATTGGACAGCCATTTGTCTGAAATGGCATAGGGCCGTGATGGCGAACGTATGGCACGCGTGCCACAGGTGGCATGCGGAGCCATATTAGTGGGCACGCCAGCTCAGCTCTGGGGCGCATGTGTGTGCCGGCCAGCTGATTTTCGGGCTTTCTGGGCCCACCAGAAGTAGGGAAACAGGCTGTTTCCTGCCTCTGGAGGGCCTGGGAGGGTGGGGAAGGGCCGTTTTTTTTTTCTTACCTGGCTCCAGATCCTCTCTGTGTATCTGGGAACGGTGAAAACAGCCTTTCCCACTTCCTTGGAGGCCCTACGGAGGCTCAAAGTACCCATTTCCCCACTCCCGGTGGGACAGGAAGTGACGTTTTTTCCTGTCCCCAGCCTCCAGAGACTCCTAGAGAGGCTCCTACAGACTCCTAGAGAGGCTCCTACAGATTCCTAGAGAGGTTCTGGAGGCTGGGGACAGCAAAAAATGTCACTTCCTGTCCCACCAGGAGTTGGGAAATGGGCTTTTTCAGCCTCCGTAGGGCCTCCAAGGGAGTGGGAAAGGCTGTTTTCGCCGTTCCCAGATACACAGAGGGGATCTGGAACCAGGTAAGAAAGAAAAACGGCCCTACCAGGCCATCAAGTGCCAGGAGTGGGGGGGAGGAGGAGGGGGTTGCGCGCACATGCGCGTGGGCACGTGCACGCGTGACCCTCCCCCGCCCCCCCTCTCCTGGCACGCGATGGCAAAAAGGTTAGCCATCACTGGCATAGGGTCTTCTAGAACTGCTCTAGAAGGGGTTGGACTAGAAGATCTCCAAAGTCTCTTCCAACTCTGTTATTCTGTTATGTAGTATTTTTCAACCTTGGAAATGACTTGGGCATCTTAAAGTTGCCAAGGTTGAGATACACAATCAGTAGAATGGCTTGCATCCAAAAGTTGTAGGTACTCCATTACTGGAGGTTTTCAGGAAGAGATTGGATAACCATTTGTCTGGAATGGTATAGGTATCTCTTGGTCAACCAGGCAGTTGGACTAGAAAACCTCCACAGTGCCTTCCAATTTTGTTGTTCTATGTTCTAGTTTATAATCTTGTTTCAAGTATTATCCACATGGTATGTGCTAGGTACAGCTGTTGCATCCACTCTACATTGCGCTTGTTTGCCTTGTATGAAGGAATAGATCAAATGCTCAAACTGCAGCACCAATCTGGATTACTAGGCATTAATTTAAAACAAAGCTGTTAATGCTGAATAATGAGTAGTATGGAATGGAAATGTTGAAAAAATGCTCATTTTAACTAACTATGAAATGCCGTAGGTATTTCTTTTTGATTCAGGTTTGGATAAAATGGATTTCTATTTTTTCTTTTTGATACAGGTTTGAAATTCTGGACCAAATATAGGAAAAGAGCTAGTAAACAAAATTGACTATGTGTCTTGTAGGGCTGCGCAAAGCACTTGGAGCTATTTCACGTGTCTGGTGTACCAATTTACTGCTAGAGTTGTAAAGCCATCAGGTCCTCCTGAAAGCTTAATGTGACCATTTCAGGAATCTGCTTATCCTATTTGAGTATGTATATGTATGTCCAAAATAATTTTTGGTATGTTTATCACCAAAGCAGATTGGTATACCATTGTCTTTTTAGCAGCATAATTATTGAAATATATTTCTCATGCCTGGTATACAGAAGTCGCTCAAAAGTGTTTTAATTATTCCCTTAAAACAAAAAAAATTACAAAATTGCGGATATGGGTAGAAATTTTTTAAACGTAATATGAAAAAGTAAAGGAAAAAGTAGAGCATTGTATGCAACTAGAGCCAGCAAGAATTAGAATAGCAAACAGAGGTTTTAACCAGTGGTGGGTTGCCCCCGGTTCGGACCGGTTCACAAGGACCGGTAGTAAAACTGGCGGAGGCCCCACCCACCACCCCAGATGTGGTCATCTGTGCACATGCACAGTAGCGTGCACATGCTCCCATTGCGAACTGGTAGTAAAGGCAAGTAGAACCCACCCCTGGTTTTAACCCTGAATTTTAAAAACACATATACTAATGGCTGACTTCAATGTTAGTAGCATGAATGAGTGTAACTGTAACTAGAGAAGCTACAACTGAACTAATTGAACTGAACTAACTGAAAATTACAAATAAGCTATGTATCATCCTATGTTCAGGTTAACAACTATCTATATTTCATATATAGGCATCAGGGCCAACAATTTCGGTGCAATTGTCTAGATCTGTTAGTGACATCCACTAGAATGCAATCCTAGTTCATATGCAACACAATCAAATGGACCTACATAACTTGCTTGGTGTAAGACAAGGTGTTGGTTGATTATAGCATGACTGTAGGTATCCTTATTTTTAGAATCAGGATATTATTATACAATTCAAGACAGTTCATTCAAGTATGGTTTTGTTAAAAGCAAAGAGCAATTACATTATTGTTGCATGGAATTGTAATAACAGTATGTGTAAAGTTTATTGCAAGCTCACTAATATGCATGATTATTTGATACTAGGTTCCACAAAGTTTAAAAAGAATTTCATCTAGACAAATATTGTTCAGTTATATCCTACCTGCTGCCTGAAAAATTACAAATTCCAGCCCTGATATATCAATCTAGACAGCACAAAGAAAATCTACTGCATAAATCAATTGTATCTAAGATCCCCTCTTTCCTAATTTCTGAGAAGCAAACTTCTGATCAGCTATTGTTGGAAGGAACAAAAGTCTCTGATATCACATCAAATTTTAAGAAAATATTTAGGTTATAAAACACATTCTCCTTCTCTAAAGACCAAATCTTGTGCAGTGCTATGAACTGTCATCTCCTATGAAATTAATGAGAGATAAAAACACAGAGCAGTTTGAGACAGAAGAGCCTTGACTAGTTGTGAACACTTAAATATTACATACTTGGAAGATCTTATGACCTGTGATTCACTACTGGGTTTCATGTACAGTGACAGTGAGGACAAAGCAACAGATGAATCAGACTGTATTGGGTCTTTTGAAAACATTGGTTCACACTTCATCACACTCAGAACGCCTCAAAAAATTAACAAAAAATTAATGCTGGAGCACCAAAGAGAAGGATATCACTGATAATAAAGAGTGGTTATTTTACCTTTCCTACTACTAGCATTTTTTTTGCAGGTTTCCAAGAACAACACAGATTGAGAATTAACCCCAGATGTAACATTTGAAACATTTGTGACATTTGAAGAGAAGAATTCAGATCAATGACTAGGGCTTTGCCTTAGAATTATGTTGTTGCAGCCCTTTGTCCAAAAACAAAAAAATTAAAAACTGTCTACATTGTGGTATTTACATTTGATTTACATATATACATACTTATACATGTATTTGTACCTGGATAGCATAGCACTGGAGAGCCAATTGCTAATTTACAAATAAAACATTTTAAAATATGTATAACTATACCATGAAGAACTTTTTATTGCTCACCTTCACAACACTGTTGCACTCGTTTCTGAGTAATATAGATCTACATTATATATGAACAGATATAAAAATAAGGATTTTCTTATTCTATAATAATGTTTGAAATAAACTATGTTTTCAGCTACTGTTAATTAAGAAAGGATAATTTATTAAAGGGGATAAATACATTATGGGGCAATATGGTTCCATCCTTTACACTTTTTCCTATTACATGAAATGCCTTTAGTTTAGGGTAATGTTATGTTTATGTTTGTTCCTAGGGACAAACCACCATCCACTGTGGTGCAGTGGACTAAACTACTGTTAAAGTAGTATTTAGCTGCCAGCTGCCTACAATTACTGCGAGTTCAATTCTCACCAGGCTCAAGGTTGACTCAGCCTTCCATCCTTCCGAGGTAGGTAAATGAGGTAAAATGCCCCCAACAATCTGGGTCCACATTTTACAGATCTTGGAAGGATGGAAAGCTGAGTCAACCATGAGCTGGTCAGGATCGAATTCCTGGCAGTGGGCAGAATCAGCCAAAACACTGCATTCTAACCTCATACATACAAACACATATATACATGAGTTTCCACACATTAATTTTAAATTTGCTTTATATTTACAATATACAGTATTGTTAAACTTTGCAATATCTAGTTTATGCACTATGTTCAAGTACTGTACAAAACTGCAATAAATAACACTAGACAACTACACAGTTCTACTATAAAGACACCATGATTCTGATGTATTTTTTTTCTTAAAAATCAACCATAAACTGCTAATATGTACCAGTATGTGAATCAAATACTTTTGATTGACCAAATCTATTGAAAAATTTAAAACTATAAATAATTATCAATGATGATATTGTTTATAAGGGCTTTGGGGATAAGTTTCAGAATGAAATTAATGGATCATATTAAATATAATACAAAAATTGTAAATACAGGCTTTAGTTTTGTTTTCATAAGTTTTTAAGTATTTATGAAGCATTAAAGATTTTTTTCTTTATAAACAAAAACAAAAAAATAATCCACTTCATAGAAAAACTATTTTTTAAAAAAGTTGTCTTACATTTATGCCAGGAAAAGATAAATTGTACTTTACAAAAGCAGCAACAATAATTTATGATAAATGAATTAATTGAACTACCATTATGGAACCAACATTGAAAAACAAATAGTATGAAGGAAGGCTTTTAGAGTGGAATTAATGGAAACTTTACTTTGGAAAAGAATGCACAAAAATCTTATGTTACCAATGTATTTAATTCCATGAACAGTATCCGAAGGTATTGTATATTCTAGGTACTTAGCATTTCTTTTGAAAGTTCCATTTTCCATTTTGAAATGGAAATTCACAAGGTGGATTTTATATTCAAAGTTGCCTTGTCTACTACATGTAGTTTACTTCTAGATAAAGTCATATACCTATATGTAAAAATGTAAAATGTTGCTTCTCATGGTATTAAGACAAGCAAATTATCCATGAGATTATGCCCGATTGACTGATCAAGAGTCTTTTTCTATCTAGTTTCTAGAACTTCTTATAGTAAACTAAAAAAAGTGTCAGAAGTTTTTTCATTATTGGATAGTTGAATGGGTTAATATTACATATATCAAACCATGGCTACAAAACATGGTTTTGAACAGACTCCAAGGAACAAGTATACAGAAAGAAAATGATTATTTAGGCTGATCTACAAACTGCTTGTTCAAGCACTTACTAATGTGATGGTAGCTTTTATGCTTCTGCTTGAGCAAGATCATGCAGAAGGAGGTTCCATAAATGGAAGAACATCTTTGGATTGAATTGCACATTTCTCATGCAATACTCTAGAGACTGAGAACAGCTTTTCCATGAGCAAAAGATAACTTCATCATATGGAAGTGAACATTTGTATCCATCCTTTGGTACCAACCTTTGGATTCAGTTTTAGGCTTATTAGTGAAGTCACTTGATACTATTAGTGGCAAATTGTCATATGCACAGCAATCAATGCAAAGGATTCCTAAGGCTGCTCATTTCAAAAATTCAGAAATATAATAATTGAAAACAAATATTTTTTCTAGTCATTTCAAATAATAAAATGAAAATTGACCTTACCTTACTGCTACTACTATATCCTTAATAGTGAATGGCTTATTTGAAGGATCATATTTACCTCAAATATGAATTTCCCCCAAATGTAGGGTAGTTAGAAAAATACAGTATATTATAAATCCAGACCAAAATACCATACAATGCCAGTTTCTCCTGTTTGTGTGTATATCTATATACTGCTAAAACTCTTGTGTCTGTTTGATTGTTTGTAACCTTCAATTGGGTGAAGCGGTGCATCACAGGGCAACAATTTTGAATCAATGTACCTCAAATGAGCTAACTTAAATAATGCATCCAAAATGCAGGATCCCTGTTAGATTGAAAATTGGTAAAGTTATGATTTATCAGCCACAGTTATGCAATCATCATTTCTCCCTGCCAGCTTTTTACAATGAAAGTTAATGGGGAAGCAAGCAGGAAGCTGGATGTTGTTCCTGCTCCCAGAGCTTCCCAGAGTATTCTGTTTCTCTGAAATGATTACCCAATAGGTCACAGATTGTACAATATATACTGTGTTTTCCCCAAAATAAGACCCTGTCTTTTTTTGAACCCTGAAATAAGCGCTTGGCCTTACTGCCATGCGCTCAAAAGCCCGATTGGACTTATTATCAAGGGGAGATCTTATTTGGGAGAAACAGGGTAATATGTGTGTGTGTGTGTGTGTGTGTGTGTGTGTGTGTGTGTGTATACACATGTATATATATACAAATATATACACATACATACATATACACATATATACAAAAGACCTTACAAAGTGTTTTGTTAGGATTTTAGAGGATTTTGAGCTGGGTTTTTAGCCAGGATTTTAAGATTTTAAGCATTTTAACTAACAGACTTATACCCTTACTTGGATTCGAACTTGGGCTGCCTGCTTGTTAGGCAGTTGTATTAACCTCTGAGCCACAAGTTCTCCTCCCTTCATCAGCTTGAGCCAGGGGAGAGATTAAGGTGTCTCGATAGAAAAACACTTAATATATATGTGTGTGTATGTGTGTGTGTTGGAATACTCCCATCCCAAAAAGTGTACAGACAGGTTAAAATTTAAAAAAAACTGAAGTAATACTTACCAATTTCCTATAAAATTAAGTACCAACTTTATTGATATGAACTCCCATCAGCACATATCAACCATGTTCAAACTCTAAACTTTTTTATAGAGAGAAATATGTAGGTACAGACACCCACATACATGCATATTCCTCTCTCTCTCCTTCATGAAGCCATAAGAATAAAATGAAAAGGGATAGAAATGGAATGAAGGGAACAGAAAAAAATTGGATGAAAAGAGAGAAAAAGTAATTTTGCAGGACAAGACAGGACAGGATAGGAAGAGAGAAGTTTTGTTTGGAAGTTAAATCATTAAATTTATCAGACAAGGAACCTCTTTCCAAGAAACAGTAAATCTTCATGTTAATGTTCAAAAATATCCATGCATTTCAGCAGTGATGCCGGAAGCTATCTGCATAGCTTTCAATAGCTTTTCAATAGCTTTTTCTATTTCTAATAGCAAGTATATCTCTCTGGGAAGAAACAGGTGTTCCTGCTGGGTTAAATTCTCCGCTTAAATTCTATCCTGTTTAAGCTTCTGCCAACTTAAAACATAGGTTTCCAACTTTGATGTCCCAGTTGGTATAAAAATATCTCGTCTGTAATAAACTATATATCTCAGAACCAAAAGAGCAACAAAAAGATGTAGATGTTGACATCTACAAAAATAGTGACTTGAATATATGGAGGTTGTCTTATCAATATTGCTTCTCTTTGAACTTCTGCACAATTGCCTATTTCAGCTTTTAAATCATGATTCAGTAGAAGTCACTTGATCCAGAATGCACTGGAGACAGAAGAAGGGAAATAACTAATTACTGACTTAATATAACTAACCAGGAACCAACATAACATGCTTAGTTGTTTAGTTTTATATCTCATTGTGTTTCTGCATGTTGTCAACATCTTCTGCAATGGGTATGGATTCAATTATTTCCTTGTATTTGTTGGAAGGAATCTCCAAGTGCAACCCTTTTGTTTATCAACAGACCACTGGTCACACCATAGGATAAGCCGATAATTAGCAACTTCAAAACTTGATTAAAGGAAATTATTATCCCTGTCATTCTGAATCTTTTATGCATAACTTGCGTTCTTAATGATTGCTAACAAGAGAGTACTTATGGTCACCACATATCTATAATATTTACACGGGCACTGATACTGTAAGAAATTATTAAGATTACTCTTTTTTAAAAAAATCCTTCTCTTTTTAAATGATAGCTTCTTTGCATTAAGTAGAATCAGTTGTCTCATAGAAAAATATCTTAAACTTTAAATTAAAAAAATAGCATTACTAGTTATGTAATTATGTAGGACCATACAGTATATGAGTTGTATGGATATAATTAAGCATAGTTAAATCCAAATTTAGGAGAACTCACATAGATACGAGAGCCATCTCCTGTACAGAGAGATGCTTACAGATCCCATGACTAAACTCTGTGCACCTCCTTTGGAGATAAACAAACATGACATCTATATACATCCTGTACATATTAGTTCATTGATTAGCAGTTATTAGTCATACTGTACATAGGAAAACAATTTGATCATAATGATGTTACATGCCCTCAGCATAAAGTTAAGGTTTTAGTGTGAGGGTGCAAACCCATGCAAGACAGGTTCCCTGTTTAGATATGTGGCCCAATACACCAAGTTGAATGTGCCAAATAAAACTGGAAATACTATTCTAGACATTCTGTCAATTTTGCTAACACTGTTAAAAGTTTTCTTTGCTTCTTGTGGTTTGGTTTCTGGTTTGACTTTGTGGGGTTCTGAAGTAGTGGTAGCACTCTTGGAGATGGTGGGGAGAACAGAATCCTTGGTGATGTTTGGTCCATAATTGGCAACAGCCACTGCGTAGGCATTGTTTTTCTTAATGACTGAGGCCTTTTCTTTTTTCTGTTAAAAGATAATATTATTATTAAATATCTTCAAACATTTCTGCACCAATAATATTATCTACTTCATTCAATCCAAAATAATGTGCCTCAGATTGACCTCGTTGACTATGGTACTGCCATTGTAGAAAGCTTCTCCAACTTTTGGTTAAGGCCATGTATACCTATGTGTGAATCTTCAATGGTGACATGATTCATTTTCTTCACTGTGGTGGAGTAATGCTGTTTTCATGCTGATCAAATTGGAAGCTTCCGTACCTATGCTTCAATGTGAACCAACTCTTATGTAAATGGGAAGAATATTTGTATTAATTATTTGATAAAACAAATTATTTTGCAGTATCTAGAGATGGGGAAAGTGTCATAGACTGTTATTATTCAATCTGCATAATTGTATTATTTCTTGCCATACTTCAAGAAAAGGAGTAAGTTAGAAGATCTGAAATGCACATTATGGTCAAGGTAACCAGTAACTGCCATGATGAGAAATACACTTCTTTCTTATACTGTGTTCTTCACTATTAAGAACAGCACAATATGGAAGCAGCTGGAATTGCTTTGTTCCAGGATGTTTTTTCAATTTCCCAGCTCTAGAATTTCCTGGTAGTCCCTCACTAGGTCTGAACCTGATTAGTTTTCCAAGGGTAGTGAAAGCTCTTTTGGAGGAATGGCAGAATAAATGTTATTTGTTCTTTTTGCTTATTACTTTCTGGAGCCCTTCTACTAAAAGCCCTTGAAACAAATTGTGTTTCAGGTTGTGAGGAAGAATGAACAGACCATCAACTAAACTGGAATTGAGCTATCTGAATAATTCTAAAACCTGTGAAAGTTAATGTCACAAATTCACGAAAAGTCAAAATTAGTCCTTGGGTACTTCCTTTTCCCTTCTATTTTTGATTTTTTTAGTTTATAAGCCACAGGTTAGTGACATGGAATTTCCCACTCCAAAAAAGGCATCAATATCTATAAATTAGCAGATAAATGATACAAAACCCAAACTCAGATTTCACTTTTCCTCTTCTCTTTCATGCTTTCCCTCACAATTATCCAATACTTTTACATGAATTGCAGTTTAAAGTTCACTTGAACTCCATCTCAACTATGCAGTTCACTTGAACTCCACCTCAACTATGGTTTTACTAGCATGTTAAGAATGCTTCTAGCTTCTTAGTGCTATGTAACTGATAAATAACGTTTTTCATTTTCTCAAGTTCCTTGTGCACACAATGGAATTTGTACAAGCAAAAAACATTTTTTCAAAACAGCACAACCATTTTAGCACTAAAAAAAGGACTTTTTAAAGGAAAATTCTTTTTAAGAACTGCAGGTGCCAAATAATTGAAAATGCCCTTTTAGGGATCTTAGAAATCTAGTTTATTTTTATTTTGTTTTGAGACAGCCATAGATCTGGAGAAACAAAACCCAGATGTTTATTCAAGGTTTTGGTTAAAGCAAGAGGGTTTCCAGCAGGGATGGGTTCTATTTACTGGTTCGCAGTGGGAGTGCGTGCATGTTACTGTGCATGTGCAGAAGCTTCTGCGCATGCGCATATCTTCATTTATGATGTCCGGGCGGGTGGGCGGAGGTTTTACTACCGGTTCTAAAGAACTGGATAGAACCGGGAGTAACCCACTACTGGTTTCCAGAGGTATTTTACTGGGTGGACACGACTGGACCTGCGCGGTTCCCTTGAATCGGCTTCAGTGACCTGAACTGTTGGGCCTGCGTCCGCTCGGGATTCTGCCTCTGGGAGCGCTTCGATGGATTCTTGAGGCGTGGCTGGTTCTGCAGGCCCGGGCTCTTCAGGAGAACTCCGCTGGGTCCCCCCCACCTCCTAGGCTGTTGTTGTTTTGGCCCCCCCTGTAAAAGTGAGCTGTAGTAAAGTTTGTGTTAGGTTGCGATTGTCTAGTTCTGTGAGTACCGGTTGCCGGTTGTTGAAGTGTTTCCAGCTCCGGAGTTGGTCAATATGTCTATTCCAGATCTTACCATCATTTAATTCTACCCTGTAAAATCTTGGCCCGGTAACTTAAGTTATTTTTGTTGGTACCCACTTTGGGTCGCCCATGTAATTGTGGGTGTACACTAAATTCCCCACTTCGAACAACCGGTATTTACTGGTTGAATCTACGGGTACCTCTGCACTATAATTAGGGCGCAGTCTGTCCAGTTGAGACCTTATCTTCTGGCCCATTAACAATTCGGCTGGGCTTTTGTCTGTGGTTGCGTTAGGCATAATGTGTTGGACTAAGAGTAGCTTATCTATCTTTTCCTGCCAGTCCCTTGGGCCCATTCGGGCCAGTGTTTCCTTTGTTGACCAGACCATCCGTTCCGCTAATCCATTAGCTGCTGGATGCACTGGGGCTGCCAGGGCATGTCTGATTCCTTGGCTGGCTAGAAACATTTCAAACTGGTTGGCTGTGAACTGGGGCCCATTGTCTGACATTACCATGTCTGGTATTCCATGGGTGGCAAACAGTCTCCTCAAGACCCTGATGATTGCTTCTGTCGTGGTTGTTTTCATGAAAGCCACTTTGAGCCATTTGGAATATGCATCTTCCACTATGAGAAATGTTTGGCCATGTGCCGGCCCAGCAAGGTCAATATGTATGCATGCCCATGGGGATTTTGGGATTTCCCAGTCCCTGGGGGATGCGCTGGGGTGGCTGGCCTAGTCTCCTGGCATGGTGAGCACGTTGCCACCCATTGTTCTATTTCCTTGTCCATCCCCAGCCACCAGACAAAACTCCTCGCTAGTGCTTTCATTCTGACTATTCCCGAGTGACCTTCATGCAATGATTTTAGGATTGATTCCCTCAATACCCGGGGTATTACGACTCTATCCCCCCCATAGTAAGCAACACTTCATTACAGATAGTTCAAGTTGGCGAGTTTTAAACAGCTTAAATTCGCTCTCTACTACCTCTGGCCATCTCCTCAACACCCAGTTTAAAATTTGTGGCCAGATGCTATCTTTGACTGACAGTCTGGCGATCTCTGCTGTTATTGGGCTGGTCTCTAATTCCTCTATCAGCAGGATGGATGTGGTTGGGGCTGGGTCCTTGATGAGGTCTGGCAGTGGGGATTGACTCAGGGCATCTGTGTGATCAATGGTTTTCCCTGGCTGATGGATAAGGCGGTACTTGTACGTGGCCAGGAAGATAGTCCATCTCATCATACGGGGAGGCAAAAAGTTCGGGGTTGGTCAATCGCCTGCGATGAGGCCTAACAATGGCTTGTGGTCCGTAATTAGTTCAAATTCACACCCATAGACATATTCATGGAAACACTTAATCCCTGCCACTGCCGCCACTGCCTCTTTATCCAGTTGGCTGTAATTGCATTCAGCTTTTGACAGCATTTTTGAATAAAAACCGATTGACGCCTCTGTTCTGTTTGGTAGGTGGTGGCTGAGGACTGCTCCTATCCCTAATGGGGATGCATCACAAGTCAGTATGAGAGGTAGTGTCTCACTTTATAGCATGAGAACACTCTTAGAAGTTAATAGTTCTTTTACTGCTGCAAAAGCAGAAGCTTCTTTTCATCCGCACTTCCATTCTGTTGACTTATCAAGCAATTGATGCAGCGGCTCTGCAACAGTCATCTTCTGTGGTAAAAAAATGTTGTAAAAATTCAATAGCCCCAGAAATGCTTGAAGTTCTGTTTTATTTGTCGGGGTGGGGGCTACCTTAATTGCCTTGATTTTGTCATTTGTGGGATGGATGCCTGCTTCATCAATTAAGTATCCCAGAAATTCGACACTAGGTACCGCTATTTCGCATTTTTCCTTCTTTATCTTAAGGCCAGCCTCTTGGAATCTACTGAAAACTCATCTCAGTCTTTGTGTTAATCCTGAGTCTCTGGAGAAGGGCGGCATATAAATCGAACTAATAAATAAATAAATAAATAAATAAATAAATAAATAAATAAATAAATTATTGTTCCTTGTTCTCTGAGGCCACAAGGACATTATCAAAGTAAGGCACCACCCCTGGAATGCCATGTAGGAGGCGCTCCATTAAGCATTGGAAAATTCCTGGGGCCACACTAACCCCGAATTGTAGTCTGTGGCATTTAAAAGCCCCCCTGTGGGTCACAATGGTTTGTGCCTCTGCAGTAGCCTCATCTACTGGTAATTGTTGATACACTTGGGCCAAATCGAGTTTAGCAAAGATTTTTCCTTTTCCAAAGGAATGCAACAGATGTTGTACTATTGGTACCAGGTAGGTGCTCTGTTGCAGTGCCTTGTTTATTGTTGCCTTATAATCAGTGCATACGCAAACTGACCCATCTGGTTTCACAGGGTTGACAATAAGTGTCTCCCACCTAGCATGGTCGACCGGCTCCAAAAACCCGTGTGCAATTAATTTGTCTAATTGTTCATCCACCTTGGCCCAAAGGGGAATAGTAATTTGCCTTGGTTTCAGTCTGAAAGAGATAATGCTAGGGTCTGAGTTGAAAGATATAGGGGTCCTCATATACTTGCCCAGGCTTCCATCAAAAACATCCTTGAATTCCGACTGCAACTCCACTTGCAATTCATTAGGGTCCTCTTCTTGTAGGGAATGTATGATTAGTTCTATGCTAATGTCTTTAAACCATTCTACCCCAAGCAGGCTGGGCAGGTCTTTATCCACAATTGTTAGTGGCAGGTGGCCCTTGAATTCCTTGAATTTGACAGGGAAAAATCCTCTTCCCAGGACTGGGATGTTGTTTCCTTGATAATCCTTCAGTTTGATTCGTTGTGGCTCCAGTTGTTGCCTGATTATTTCTGGGACTGCCTTCTTTATAGTTGCCCAGGATACTATGTAGATATAGGATCCACTATCTATCTCAATACTACATGGCTCTTTCCCAATCTGTACTGTGATATGCGTTTTTTTTTCTCTATAGGCATCAGAATGCCCTATTATTGTGTGTTCATAGTCCCTGTCTCTTTCGGTTCTGTTTCCTTCCCACCTGTAGTTTGAGTTTGGCGCCCTCTGGAATCTCCTTTGTTGTGGGTCATGTTGCCTGTTGGGATGCTGCCTCTGATTAGGATATGCAGGCAGGCTCGCTCTGCAGGCTTCTGTAATGTGCCCCCTCTTTTCGCACTGTCGGCATATAGTATCCTTAAACCTACACACCGACCTGGGGTGATTCCCTTTGCATCCTGCACACCATGGGGTTCTCTGCTGTGCCTCATTTTGCCTTGGGTTTCTCTCTGCTTTGAGTCTATAGATATCTTCTTCTTCCTCGCTTCTCTGTTCTTCACCCCCATCTATGTATCTATAGTCAGCCTCCCTGGAGGAATGGACGCTTTCTGTCTTGGGGTTATCAGTCACCAGTTTATCAGAAAGTTCAGCTGCCCTCACCTCTTCCAGTACCTCTTTTAAAGTGAGCGCTTTCTTAGTTACTAGTTTCCTCTGCAGTCTCAGGTGTCTCATTCCCACAAGGACTCTGTCTAATAGCATTTGATCTACCTTTTCAAATTTGCAACCAGCTGCTATATCCCTCAACTTGGTAACATATTCATTAATGGTCTCACCTGGTTGTTGCTCTCTACGGTAAAACTCAAGTCGGTGGGCAAATAGTGATGCCGTGGGGGCATAATGTTCTTCCAGCATTTCTTGTAGTTCCTTCCATTCCATGGTTTCAATGTTCTTTGGAGCAGCTAGGGTTTGAGCCATCTTGTACAGGCGGTTGCCACAATAGCTGAGGAACAGGGCTCGCTTCCTTTCGTCCCCAGTTCCTTGCAGGCCATTAGCTTCCAGGAACATCCTGAATTGTCCCAGTCATGTTGGTTCGGGTTGAAAGGTTCTGGGGGTGCGTAGGTAGTCATCCTGCCGGCCGGTGTTGGAAGAAAAGGCAATCCAGTTGGAGGGGAAAAAAATGGTCGTCTGCGCCACGCGGTGATTGTCCTTTGTTCGCCTTTAGAATCCCACCTTCATCGCCAGTGTTAGATGTGGGGTCAAAGTGAGGAGGCAGAACGCTGCATGGTTCAGTAAAATAGTTTATTTCTGCAGTTTAAAAAAGCAAGCGCAGATGCGCCGGCAGCTCCTTTTAAACCCCAGAGCTGTCCAGCATTTCCGCCACTCAAGTTAGTCCATTCTCCCGCCTTGGAGCCTGGACCAATGAGCGGGAAATTGTACAACACGACTTCTCCCTCATTAATATTCAACAAAAGTCCTTATTGTCAACTCTGAAGCTGGCCTAGCTGAAGCCATCCTGGAGCTGAGGGATAGGGACTGGGGATTAGAGATAGCTGGGGTTGTGTACTCAAAATAAAATACTTTCTCTTGGGAACCAAGGATGTTCTCACACCTGGCTGGAGGAAAGAAGAATGATGTCACCTGACCAGCAGACGCTACCTTGATTGGGCCATGTGACTGATAGTTTGGGATTGAGGAAAAAAATGTGCCAATATGATATTTTCAATAAAGCTATTCTTTGAAGAATCTACCTGCCTCAGAATTTTGTTTGCTATTACTTGGAACTCTGACATTTATGCTTGTTTTTTTCCCCATTCATATCCATCAATGTAACCTCTTCTCCCAGAACAATAGCATTTTGGTTCATATCTCTGAACAGAATAGGCCTTTTTCATTCTACTTCCAACTGAAAACATCAAAAACATGTTTTGGTTCAGATGGATCAATAGAATTATTGTTGTTGTTGTTGTTGTTGTTATTGTCATTGTTGTTATTGTTTTTGTTATTGCTGTTAAATGCCTTTTTAGGGATATTTATATACCTTAAACACAGAATTCCTCTACTGAGATCAAACATCTCTGAAAATGGAAAACATTTTTTAAAATAAACCATTTGCTTTAGTCAAATGAGAATCTGTATAATTACATAAAAAGATTATATAAATCTACTAGCTGTACCTGGCCATGCGTTGCTGTGGCTCAGTCATGTGGGTATACAATATTTTTTGACTGAGTATCAATAATTTCCCTCTGTAGCTCAGGTCACGCATACTTTGCCTCTGTCCCACCAGTCTTTTCACTCGGTTGATTGGATTCAGACCTGAGTTGCCTTTCTCTATGTTTCTTTTTGGACTTTAACGTCGCTTAATCAATTGTTTTGTTGGACTTTTACCTATTTGGTGCTTGTATTGGGAGAACTGCGTGTCGTGGGATTAGCGGAGGCCTCTGCCCGGGCTGGCGTTGGTGAGTTTGCGTTCCTGGGGCTCTGGGACGGTGGCCGCCAACAAATATTTTGAATCCAGTAGCTATCCGGAGGTTTGTCCTTGGACGCCTCCGAGGATATTTTGCCGCGGGTGTAAGAGCTGGTTTCCCAGCTTGCCGGTATAACCGCCTTCACCTTCGCAGCACCACAGGCGGCATCGGGGTCCCTGCCAAAGGTACGGCATACTCTGTTAGTCGGGAGGACGCTTCACGACGGTTGACATTTGCCGCCATTTTGCTTGTGGGTTTCGCGGCGCTGGTGCTGAGGGGAAAAAACCCAGATCGCGCCTGCCATTGTGGTGCTGCGATGTTAAAGTGCAAAAAGAAACGTAGAGAAAGGCAACTGAGGTCTGAATCCAATCGACCGAGTGAAAAGACTGGTGGAACGGAGGCAAAGTATGCGTGACCTGAGTTACAGAGGGATACGGCACAGCTCAATTCCAATGCAATGTCGCACGAAATAATTAAATCAAAATGAGAATAAATCGAAATCTATGAAAATTCAATTTAACAATGCAATCGGAAACATTGAAATGGAATTGTAAAATTTGAAATTTGGAAATCGTAAATGGATTGTAAATTGGAAACATTGAAATGGAATCGTAAAATATTTAGTATAGCGTGTGTTGGCTTTTACATCCAACAGATGGTGCTGTTTTTCAAAAAAACATGTTTTTACCTGTCACAGGTGTGACATCTATATAATATAGGTATATAAAAAGGCGCGTATTCGAATGCAATGTTGTGTCAAAATTTCAAAGCAATCGGTGAAGAACTTTCGGAGATTTAAGATTTTGAACAAACGAACATTTACATTTTTATTTATATAGATGACAGTTCTTAATTTATAATGCTCAATATACCGTAGTTAAAATTCTTTTAGCAAAGTATCTTTGGTTTCACTAATTTCCTTATAAAAATTGTTGGGAGATAATGAAATGTGGTTGAAGGTTTTGAAGGAAATTAAACAAGCATAAATGGGCTATGATTTAATTTATCAACAGCCTTGGGATAATATTTGTTTCTTTAAGAGAAACAGGTAGAGAAAGATTCCATATGAACTGTTTAATTTCTGCTGAAATGCAGACCCAAACTCTCTACTTCTTTTCATAATCATTCTTGTTTTAACATACCCTGTCCTTATATTGGTTTAAGACTTTAATTATTTTTCAGTAATGGAAAACTTTCAACAGAGATGCTGCTAAATTGTTTTTTTTTCCAAATTGGAAGAAACCTTAAACATATTTTTCATCACTCACCTTATCATTGACTATGCTTTTTCCATCCCATGCCCATCCTCTTTTTGTGAAGTAATTTACAGTGGCAAATTCTATCAAGGCAGAGAACACAAATGCATAACAAACCGCAATAAACCAATCCATAGCTGTGGCATAAGCTACTTTGGGCAGGGAATTACGAGCACTGATGCTTAACGTTGTCATTGTTAGCACTGTTGTTACTCCTGTAGGGTAGAAAAAGAAGAATGAACTTGGTCAAGGTAATGCAAAATGCATGGAAAGTTTAGCACCAGAGCTAAAGACAATGAAGCAGGGGTGAAATCCAACAGGTTCTGGATAACCGGTAGGAGAAATTTTGAGCAGTTCGGAGAACCGGCAGCGGAAATTTAGAGTAATTTGGACAACCGGCAAATAGCACCTCTGATAGCCCCAGAGTAGAGTGGGAATTGAGATTTTGCAATATCCTTCCCCCAGGAGTGGTGAGGGAATGAGTATTTTGCAGTATCCTTCCCCTGGAGTGGGGTGGGAATGGAGATTTTGCAGTATCCTTCCCCTGCCATGCCCACCAAGCCACAGTACGCCCACCAAGCCACGCCCACAGAACCGGTAGTAAAAAAATTTGGATTTCACCACTGCAATGAAGGGACATGATAGAAAATTAAACTTAAAAAGACCAAAGTGCAGACATTATAAATAAGATGTTCAATGATATCTATTAAATTATATAATGTTTGGGATTTATTATTTTAAGGAACTTGCACCCCAAAAAGTCAACATGACAGCTGCAACTCTGTAATCAAATCCTCAACTTTTTTTATAAGCATTGTGACACGGATTAAAAAAGAGTGACTTTAAATCACATGGTTGCCATCTAGACATCTTTTACCTCCCCATGCAGATGTGCTTAATGCAAGATCACATTTTACATATATTTTCTCCAAGATGTAGACTCTTGAGTTGCTAATGTTATAGAAGTGACTGAAAAGTACAAAACCTTTGCCTGGTATATCCTACATAACATACGAACTAATAACATGCATATCTCTCTGGAAGAAATGTTTGAGTTCCACTTTTAATTTGAAATCATGTTTTTGTTGAGAACAAAACATTGACAGGTTCTGTTCCAAAGAAGCTAGTGGTGGAATTCAGCCAGTTTGCACCAGTTCATGCAAACTGGTAGTTAACTTTCTGAGCAGTTTGGCAAACCAGCTGTTGGAAGAAATCTCCTTCCAACAGCCTTTTGTTTTTCCCACAGTACGGGGTTAAGCCTCTCAGGCAGGAAGGAATTGTTCTGGTGTGCCTGTGTGTGTTGTTTCTAGCCTGCTTAAGTGTTTTCTGAAACTGCCTCTGGTTAAGCCTTATTACATTGTAACAGCTGGTCTTAATGGTTCTTGGCAGTACAACCAGCCTTTCTATAGCCTGAGTGGCTTCTCTGGAGTTTTTTCCCCCTTTGCTGGTACTTTTATTCCGGGGCTTGGGAGGAGGGACTGGTTGGATTAAGAGCTATTTACATAAGGGTTGGCATAGCCATAGAAAAAATGGCAGAGAGGCAGGATGCAAGCTTGGCACTCTGTCTGATTTTTTTTACTGACTTTCTGGGGGCATGTGATCTTTCCTTAGGATATCTTGTGAGATGAGTGAGACCAGCTGGTATCTTTGAGTGGTGCAAATGCATCTAAGGATTTGCTTCTCCTGGATGGGAAAGGGTGCTTTGTCAGTTCACTGAGCACAGGAGTCTCTTGTCTATGGGGATTCTTCAATCATCCACTTGGTTGTCCCAAAGGTGCTTTTTTCAAGAGGCAACTGGACTTTTTTAGTTTCCACAAAGTCCAGTTGCCTCTTGAAAAAGTAACTTTGGGACAGAAGTCTCTTGCATTGCTTTGGAGTGGCCGAGGCACATGATTGCTCACTGATAGTAAGTGGATCCTCCTTACAATTTGTTTGAGTTTTCTCTCATAATAAGGCTTAGTAACATGGCACCAATTGTAGAAAGTTAGCACCCACCCCTCTCCTAGAAGAATGAAATATTTTGAGAAATATTTAAAAAGAAGAATATATTTCCCAGGATGAAAAATGAAGAAACATGTTTTCTTAGTGGGAGAAAGCAGCCCCTACCTTCCTTAATAGCCCACAGCAGATGTCAGCACTTAAGAGATAAAGAGATAGATAGCTCTATTCATAGGCAAAAATTCCCTGCAGCAAGATCTGAACAAAGGCAGAATGGGATTAGCCCTCACTCAAGATCTAAAACAGGAGGAAAGACTGGTGAGGTCTCATATTAAGACCTACCTAGTGGCGATAAAAGCGGCGAAAACTAACTATTTTGCCGCTCTTATCGCGTCATCAGATAATCGCCCGGCCGCCCTGTTTAGGGTGACCCGCTCCCTCCTCCATCTGGAAGTGCGGGATGACCCCTTGCAGGGTCGAGCTGAGGATTTTGTGCAGTATCTGTATGACAAAATCGCTCAGATTCGGGAAGGGCTGGCCTCTGACTGGGTATGTCCAGACGGGATGACTGAGGCAGGTCTTGAGAGTGTTATCTGGGGGGAGTTCGATCCTGTGGCTCCCGAGGACATGGACAGGGTCCTGGGACGGCTGAACGCGACCACATGTTTATTGGACCCGTGTCCCTCCTGGTTGGTACTGGCTTCCCGGGAGGTGACACGAGGCTGGCTCCAGAAGATTGTTAACGCTTCTTTGAGTGAGGGGGTCCTGCCGGCCGCTTTGAAAGAAGCGGTGGTGAGGCCCCTCCTCAAGAAGCCTTCTCTGGATCCGGCTGTTTTGGCTAACTATCGTCCAGTCTCCAACCTTCGCTTCATTGCGAAGGTTGTTGAGAGTGTGGTGGCGCAACAGCTTCCCCGGTACCTGGATGAAGCTGTCTATCTAGACCCGCTCCAGTCCGGCTTCCGGCCTGGGCACAGCACGGAAACGGCATTGGTCGCATTGGTGGATGATCTCTGGAGGGCCCGGGATAGGGGTTGCTCCTCTATCCTGGTCCTGTTAGACCTCTCAGCGGCTTTTGATACCATCGACCATGGTATCATGTTGCACCGGTTGGCGGGGTTGGGGGTGGGAGGCACCGTTTTGCGGTGGTTCTCCTCCTACCTCTCTGACCGGTCGCAATCTGTGTTGACAGGGGGGCAGCGGTCGACCCCGAGGCACCTTGCTTGTGGGGTGCCACAAGGGTCGGTCCTCTCGCCCCTTCTGTTCAACATTTATGTAAAGCCGCTGGGTGAGATCATCCGTGGCTTCGGGGTGGAGTTCCATCAGTACGCTGATGACACCCAGCTGTACATCTCCACCCCAGGCCACCCCAATGATGCCCTTAAAGTGATGTCCCAGTGCCTGGAGGCCGTGCGGGCCTGAATGGGGAGAAACAGGCTCCAACTCAACCCCTCCAAGACCGAGTGGCTGTGGCTTCCGGCGTCCCGATATAGCCAGCTGACGCCATCGCTGGCTATTGGGGGCGAATCACTCGCCCCCACGGAGAGGGCTCGTAACTTGGGCGTCCTCCTGGACGCACGGCTGTCGTTAGAAGATCATTTGGCGGCCGTGGCCAGGGGGGCTTTTTATCAGGTCCGCCTGATACGCCAGTTGCGCCCCTTTCTAGATCGGGACTCCCTACACACAGTCACTCAGGCACTCGTCACTTCCCGCCTGGACTACTGCAACGCTCTCTACATGGGGCTCCCCCTGGGGTGCACCCGGAGGCTCCAGCTGGTCCAGAACGCGGCCGCGCGGGGGATTTTGGGGGCGACGAGGCGCTCCCACGTGACACCTCTCCTGCGCGAGCTGCACTGGCTCCCGGTGGTCTTCCGGGTGCGCTTCAAGGTGTTGGTGACCACCTTTAAAGCGCTCCATGGCTTAGGGCCGGGGTACTTACGAGACCGCCTTCTGCCACCAATAGCCTCCCACCGGCCAGTACGCTCCCACAGAGTGGGCCTCCTCAGGGTGCCGTCCGCCAGACAATGTCGGCTGGCGACCCCCAGGGGGAGAGCCTTCTCTGTGGCGGCGCCCACCCTCTGGAACAACCTCCCCCCAGAGCTACGTACAATAACAGACCTCCGGATTTTTCGTCGGGCCCTAAAAACCCATTTATTTCAACTAGCTGGGCTGGCTTGAGTCAAATTTTAAACGGATTTTAAATTGGAATGTTTTAATTACGGCCAAAATTATTTAATTATTTTAAACAGATTTTAGATTTTGTATGTTTTGTATGTATGTCTTGTTTTTACTTTGGCTGTTCACCGCCCTGAGTCCTACATTGGAGAAGGGCGGTATAGAAATTTAAACAAATAAATAAATAAATAAATAAATTAAGACACAATGCCTAACCCTTTCAGGACACAAGCCTCTCATTACATCATCTCAGAGAGTCCAAACTTCAACTAAACCCATGTGGTTCTGCTTCATCATTAAATCATCTCTCCAATTAGCCTCCATGTTTCCAGTGTCTTTCTCCCAGCTTGGAACTGAACCAGATGGATATTTCTTCAAACACAGGCTTGAAGTTTATTTAGATATTTGTGGCATGTACTAAATTTATTGTGATCCTGACAAGCGTGGGAGGGCAGAGATTTAAACCTGGGTCCCTTTTATATTTTGTCAATTTGTCTCTTTAGCTTGGCATTTTGTGGCTCAAGTATGCCCACTCACTTTCTGGAGAGCTTAAATGACCTCTCTACTAAAGGGTTTCACTTTATGAGCAAGAGTTGTCTGCTGATAATTATTGTTGCATTTTAACTATTTTAATTCCTCAATGTGCTCTGGTGCCCTGCCTGATTTGTAACACTGGATTGCAGGTATTGCTGATAAAAAGGAAGGTATTCAGACAGAATGGTTTAGGTTTCCATGATGGCTGTGACTATCATTGATTTTCAGTGTGTATTCCCCCATTTCTAATCTAATGATTGGTATTTAGGGTAACTTTTTGCAAGCAAAGAAGCTTTTTGTATTTTTGTACTGGTAATCCTTGACTTACAATAGTTCATTTAGTGACCATTCAATGTTACAATGGCACTGAAAAAAGTGATTTATGACCATTTTTCATACTTATGACCATTGCAGCAGCCCCACGATCACAAGAGGCTGGGTGAGGTGAAGCACCCCTCAACATGAGTGACGTTGAGTTGAGTCACATCACCACCCAGCCACACCTACCCAGCTGGTCATTAGGACATAGAACTGGTTGTTAACTTATTTGAATCCCATCACTGGAAGAAGCTATGAAATGAGAAAAAACAAAACAAAACAGGCCTTACCCTTTTTTGAAATAAAATAAGCCCACCATTCATATCTTATGTTTAAATTAATATTTGTTAATAATATGTCAAGATATCATGTCAAAAATTGAATCTGAGGCTTTTCCAGGAAACTACAGACCAACCAGCCTGAGATCAATACCTGGGAAGATCTTGGAAAAGATAATCAAGCAGCAAATCTGCAAACACCTGGAAGCAAGCAAAATCATAACCAGAAGCCAACATGGGTTCATCAAAAACAGATCATGCCAAACAAATCTTATTTCATTCGTTGACAAAGTGACTAAATTAGTGGACCAGCAAAATGCTGTGGGCATATAGTATATTTGGATTTCAGTAAGGCATTTGACAAAGTACATCACAACCTACTTCTTGGTAAGCTAGAAAAATGTGGGCTAGACAGCACCACCACTAGATGGATTTGTATCTGGTTAACAAACCATACTCAATATGAAGTTCTTAACAGAACTACATCTACATGGAGGGAACTAAGCAGTGGGGAACTAAGCAGAACTAAGGTTCTGTTTTGGGCCCAGACTTTTCAATATCTTCATAAATGATTTAGATGCAGGAATAGAAGGAGAACTTATCAAATTTGCAGATGACACCAAGCTGGCAGGAATAGCCAACATCCCAGAAGATATGCTCAAGATCTAGATGCATCTTGATAGACTTGAACACTAGGCCCTACTGTATCTAACAAAATAAAATTCAACATGGAGAAATGTAAGGTTTTACTTTTCTCCATGACAAGAAAAACCAAATATACAGATACAAATTACGTGAAACTTGGCTCAATACCATTAACAGAACTGCTTAATGCATTCTTTGCATCTCTCTTCATGCAAAAAGATAATACAGCCCAACCTACTAAAAACATAACTGTAAAAGACAGACTAGGAATATAAATTAAAATAAACAAGAAAATGGTAAGAGAACACCTGTCTGCTCTAGATAAGTTCAAATCCATAGACCTGACAGATTACATCCCAGAGTTCTGAAGGAACTGGCAGATGTGATCTCTGAACCATTGAATCAGGAAGATCTTGGAAAAGATAAAAAAGCAATAGATCTGTGAAGAGATGGATTTGCAACTGGCTGACAAACCACGCTCAACATGTAGTCCTTAATGGAATTACATCTATATCGACAGAAGTAAGCAGTGGGGTATCCCAAGGTTTTGTTTTAGGCCCAGTACTCTTTAATATCTTCATAAATGATTTAGATAGATGAATAGAAGGGAACTCATCCAATTTGCAGATGACACCAAGCTGGCAGGAATAGCCAACATCCCAGATCTCTCAAGATACAATCCAAAAAAGCCCATGCAATCCTAGGTTGCATTAACAGAAAGGTAGACTCAAGATCATGTATAGTATTAGTACCACTGTCAGGGTTCCAAGTAACATACGCATAGCAAACAAAACTCTGAGTCAGGCAATTTCCTCAAATAATAGATTTATTGGATATGGTATATTGGCACAGGCTGGTGAAAAGCAACTCTGATTATTCCCACAGTTTTCACCTAATTAAAAATAAATGTTTGCCATTTTCTCAAAACAGTCACATGGTCCAATCAGGATATTGTCCAGTTGCTAGGTGACTCCAGTCCCCTCCTTCTGGAATGTTCTTGGTTCCCAAGAGAAAGTATTTTGTTTTGACTACAACACCCTAACTATCTCTATTCCCCCCTCCCTATCCCTCTTCTCCAGTGTGTCAGCACTGAAGTCTCAAAATGGCCTCAATAAGGCCAGCTTCAGAGTTGACAACCACTTTATAAAGCCATAGTAAGACTACACTTAGAATACTGCATCCAGTTTTACAGAATACTTTACTTTACTTTTATTTGATTTATATACCGCCCTACTCCTGAAGGACTCAGGACGGTGAACAGCCAACAATAAAATACATACATACAAAATTTAAAAAGCAGAGATAAAATCGAATTAAATAGTTTGGCCCAAACAAATTTAAAACCCCAATCTATTTAAAACAAATTTAAACTTTGAATATTAAAAATACTAAAAAATATTAAAAATGTTTAAAAAGAGGGAGAAAGTTAGGCCAGGCCCGCCTGGTGAAATAAAAAGGTCTTTAGAGCGCGGTGGAAGGTGCGCAGATCCGGGATCCTCTGTATCTCTGGGGGGAGCTCGTTCCAGATAGTAGGTGCCCTCACAGAGGAGGCTCTCCCCCTGGGGGCCGCCAGTCGACATTGTTTGGCCGACGGCACCCGGAGGAGCCCCTCTCTATGAGAGCGTACCGGCCGGTGGGAGGCTATTGGTGGTAGTAGGTGGTCCCGTAAGTACCCAGTGTCAGCCTCCTCTGGAACCACCTGTGCTCCGCCGAACAAACACCACACGCACACACTCAAAGGTGAAGTTATCCGGTTTAATCGTAGCTTACACGGTGGTCATACAATAAGCGCTGAAGTTTTCTGTTGAAAAACAAAGTCGGAGACGCCCGATTCCTCCGCTTATCTGGCTTTATAGAACGCCCCCAAGGGCCCCGCCCTTGCTCAATTGTGCATTTAAAGTGACCGCGCTATTTACTCCTTCAGTTACTTCCGGATCTCGCTGTTCCTCGTATTGAAGGGCATTTGTTTCCTTTGACATCGTTTTATTGACCCTGTCCCCAGATTCCCTATACCGTCCACCACCTGATATCACCATGCCCTGCTAAACGCTACAACACCCCCCTTCACCGTGTCTCTGTTCTTCTGGCTTGTCACAGTCCCTGGGATCATGTGTCGAGGGAATGGCTGACACTCGACATGCGGCCCCCCCTACCAGGTCTCTTCCTGTAGGGACATAAAAACATTCGGTTATTCTCATTAAGTGGGAAAGTGTCCACCTGGTTTGTTTGGATATGTTTCATGGAATTGTTTTAGTAATCGTGGAGCATCTATATCCTTCGTTTTCACCCATGTTGCTTCTGATATAGGGTATCCCTTCCAATGTACTAAATACCTAAGCTTCCCATGATATATCTTAGAATCGAGGATCTTTTTAATTTTGTATGAGCTTCCTGTCACGGGCCCTGGACGTGTTCCTGTCTCTCTTATTTTGGCTGCTGGTTTTAGGAGACTACTGTGGAATACTGGGTGTATTCTTTTCAGTAAGGGGGGTAGTTGTAAGGATACCGTTACGGGATTTATTATTTTAGTGATGGGAAAGGGACCTATATACTTTGGACCTAGTTTTTTACTGGGCATACGCAGATTGATATATTTTGTGGACAAATACACTTTTTCTCCTATTTTGAAGGGTAGGTTATCTTGTCTCCGTTTGTTTACTTGGGTTTTGTACGCTTCAGAAGCTTTTTCTAATGCATTTTTGATGTGTGGCCAACTCTGTTTAACCTTCTCTGTCCATTCTTTTGGACTATGGGAACTAGTCATTTGTACATCTAGATCAGGGATGGCCGGGAACTCTTTTCCAGAAACTACCAGGAAGGGTGTATAACCTATACTGCTGCGTACGGTATTATTATATGCTGATTCTGCGAAAGGTAAGAGTTCGTACCAGTCTGTTTGTTGGTATGACACATAAGAATGTAGATACCTTTCTACCATGGCATTGGCTCTTTCAGCGGCTCCGATGGTATTTGGGTGGAACGCAGAGCTCAGTCCCTGTTTTGTTCCTAATTGTCCTAGGAAACGTCTTCAGAACCGGGTGGTAAATTGGGGATCTCTGTCTGAGATTATACGTTTGGGTGTGCCATGAAGTCGATATACGTGTTGGACAAATAGTTTCGCTAGACACCCTGCGGACGGTAGTCCTTTACAGGGGACAAAATGCGCCTGTTTGGAAAACAGGTCAATAATAGTCCATATTACATTGTGTCCTTTGCTGGGAGGCAATTCAACTATGAAATCCATGGCTATATCTTCCCAAGGCCTCTGTGGTTCAGCCACGGACTGTAATAAACCAGACGGTTTCCCTGACAAGGGTTTAGCTCTTATACAGATGGGACAGCCTTGTACATATGTCTCTACCTGTTTTCGCATACGTGGCCACCAGAACTGTCTCCTCACTAGATGCAACGTTTTCACGAAACAGAAATGCCCTGCTGTTTTTACATCGTGGCATTGTCATAACACCTTATCTCTCAATCCTTCGGGGATATATAATTTATCTCATTTCTACATTAGTCCTCTTCTCTGTGTCACTATCTGGGGATTGGTCTTCAACTAACTGTCTGTTGCTAATTTTTTCCTCAATTCCACTACCCAGGTTGTGGGGAGCGGGAATACGTCCCTTCCTTGCTTTCCTGTCTGTTTATAAGGTATTAAGGCTTGTGTTATCTCCTCTTTTTGGCTCTCAAATTGCGGCATACGTGATAGGGCATCAGCTAAATAGTTCTTTCCTCCTGGTATCGCTTTCAGCTTGATGGTAAATCTGCAGAAATATTGCGCCCAATGTGCCTGTTTCGGGGACAGTTTACGAGGCGATTGAAGTGCCTCTAGATTTTTGTGATCCGTCCATACCTCAGATTCTACCTTAGTCCCTTCTAGTAAATACCTCCATGTTTGCAAGGCCCATTTTATGGCATACGCCTCTTTTTCCCAAACCGTCCAATTTCGTTCTGTATCAGTTAGTTTTCGGGAGGTGTAGGCGCATGGTTGAAGAACCCCATTTTCATTTCTTTGTAGGAGAACACCTCCTACCGCCACATCACTTGCATCCGCCTGGATTACAAAGGGTTTCGATGTGTTAGGATGTCTTAGTATGGGTTCATTAGCGAAGAGGGTTTTCAACGTGTCAAATGCATGTTGACATGATATCGTCCAATTGATTTTTTGTTGTGGGTTGCCTTTCCCGACTGCAATTTTTCTCGTCTTTAAGAGATCAGTCAACAGTAAAGCCACCTTAGCAAATGAGGGGATAAATCTTCTATAAAAATTTGCAAAGCCCAGAAAACTTTGTAACTGTTTTCGGGTCTTTGGAGCCTGCCATTCCAACACTGTCTTAACCTTATTTGGGTCCATTTCAATCCCTTTTTCTGAAATCCTAAACCCCAAGTAATCTATCTCTGTCTTGTGAAATTCGCATTTCGATAGCTTGACATACAACTGAGCCTTCAACAACTTCAGTAATATTTGCCGTACCAGACAAACGTGTTATTCTAGGGTATTGGAGTATATTAGAATATCGTCTAGATATACGAGAACTCCGCGATACAGGTGATCATAGAGTATACTATTGATAAACTGCATAAAAACTGCAGGGGCCCCCTGTAGACCAAATGGCATGACCCGGAACTTATAGCTGCCCAAAGGGCAGTTAAATGTGGTCTTCCATTCATCACCCGCTTTTACCCGGACCCTGTAATACGCTTCTCGGAGGTCCAACTTAGTAAAGATCTTCCCTGTTGTGAGAGTGGAAAGCAAATCTGTCATAAGGGGTAAGGGATAAAGGGGTTCCATACAGACAGCGTTTAATCCCTGAAAATCAACACACAATCTTAGCCCTCCATCTTTCTTCTCCTTAAACAGAACTGGCGCTGCCATATGCACACGACTGGGCGAGATAAAACCCCTGGCTAGGTTCTGGTCTATATAACACCGCAATTCCTCTAATTCAAGGGGAGTCATGGAATACATGCGGGGTTTAGGTAAACTAACACCTGGTTTCAACTCTATTGCACAGTCTGTAGGATGGTGGGGTGGAAGGGTCTCACATTCCTTCTCGCTAAACACACGCCGTAGATCTCTGTATATGTGTGGGACTTTTTCTAGACAGGACATCTCCCTTCCAGTCGCTCCTACATCTCTACTGTCTTCAGGTGGATCAGGGCCTACTGCCAAGCGTAATTTGCGAAAAACCCCTTCCCACCAAAAGGTAGGTTTCCACTTATCTAACCATGATAGGCCTAGAATGATGGGTTCAATCATTTTTTTCTACAACCACAAATCGTACTACTTCCCGATGATTCCCGATCTCAAGTGTCACAGGCTCTGTAACATGGGTAGCCGGTTGTCCTCCTAGCGTTGAACCATCCATTTGCTCAAAGTAAATAGGTTTCCACAATCTCACTACATGGAGTCCAAGACTGTCTGCTATCGCCCTTCGTATAAAGCAACGGGTGCACCCGGTATCTACTAAGGCCCCTTGCTGTTCCAGTCTACCCGACCTAGGGTGTTTTAGTGTCACCTGGATAATGAAAGGTCGGACAGGATCACATACCATAGGATCCATGTGTTCTGTTTCCTCCTCAACATTCCCCTCCTCCGTCAGTGTTCGGATGATGTCAGGAGAGCCACCATTGCCATCACGACCATTGGCCTCACCACTCTTGTTTGAGCCGCGATATAAGAGCGCTCCGATAGTCTGGAACAGCAACCTGCCCGCCTACCGGAACCTGATGCCTGGATGTCTGGGGCCCGGAGAGGCAGGAGTGGGCAATCAAGCACTCTGTGGCCCTCCTGGTCACACCAGTAACATCAGAATGGTTTTTGTGAGGCAATACCACCTCTTACTCCTATAGGCATATATGTTCGAATGCCTCCCCGCCCTGTTGGCGGCTTCTCCAACACCTTCCATGGTGGGGTCATGGTGTTGCTTCGCATCCGGAACTCCTTCAGGCCTACATCCAATTCAACAGCCGCTTTATACCAGGCTGTTATGTAAGGACCAAGGCCCCTATAAATGCAGGCCTGACGTAGGTCTCTATCCAGCCCCTTATGGAAATGGTGAATTAATAAACGTTCAGGCCAGCCCCTCAACCGATTAGCCAAGGTACAAAATTCCTTTACATAGTCTTTAGCCGCTCGTCCATTTTGTTTTAGTGAAACTAGATCACTTTCGACATTGGCCTGGGTGCTGGCATCATCCTCAAATCGACTCCGTAACGCTTCCAGGAACAGTCCCAAATCTGCCAGTTCTCGAGCGTGCATGGTGTGTAAACTGGCCACCCAGTCAGTTGCCTCACCTGTCAACACCATCGTAACCGCTACTACTCTGGCCCACTGAGAGGAATAATAGTGCCCGTAAGCATCCATGTAGCTGATCATCTGGCTTAGAAAGAGGGCTACACGGTCTGGATTCCCATTGAACGTGGCTTGTAAGGGAGGGAGACCCCATGGTATTTGCTGTACCCAAGGCCCTGGGATCCATGCAGGTGCTGGATCCCGTTCACGCCTGGACCGCTCTCCACCCTGAGGGGCTCTTTGTTCCCGTGAGCGGGACTGTCTAGCAGCAGGCTCACCTTCCTGGTCCTCACGATGCCCCTGACTATGTGGCTGTCGTCATGTACCATGTATCCCCTCGCTTGACGAGGAACCCCTACCCTTGGGAGCAGGGTCTTCATCCCTTCCGCCCCTGTATCGACTATGGTCTACTCGCAGCTTTGGACTGGCCAAACGCACCCTGGATTTGGACATTCCGCCTGTTGATGCTCCCACCCCACTCTGCCACGTATTTGACTGGTCTGCCCCAGGCGCCCAGGGCTGCCAAGAGGGGGCATCCCGAAAGCTAGCTTCCCCAAACCTCTCCCTCAACATATCCATGGTGGTTACACCGGGTCCTCCTCTTCCTCCTCCTCCGTCCATCTCCTTTCCCGCCACCCTTGGAATTGAGGGGCTAGAGGGAGGTTGGCTGACGTCTGAAACCCCAACTTCCCCAGTATAGCGGTACTTTGCCACCAATTTCCAGATGGTTTTCGAGCAGCTTCAGTCCCCAATGAATCCTGTCTTTCCTGCTTGTCTTCTGGGGGCGGGGGCGACACCACTCTCTGTTTGGGGCGTACCACTGGCTGTTCGCAATGCTCCTCCATCTCCACGTTCTCCTCCTCCTCTGC